ACTGATGGTCTCTTTAGTCCTATCCTGCGGAGGACGCCTCATATCAGCACCAAAATCGCTCCTCTTCCTCCTGGTCTCTAATATTTACAATTCCTACCACTTAAAATACGGTATTGAACTCTGAATCCCATTCCTAGCAGTGTCTCCCATGCTTCTTAATGGAAGGCATTTAATGGAGCGCTTTTCATAACCGGAATAGCTCGAAAATCCCTCTGGCGTAATCATCCAGGAACAGAGGGTCCACTGTTTTGTCAACGGCGTTTACCCAGACCTATGGCCTATTTTTGAGTTCCTTCCAATGGGCATCTACTCACTCCAGCTTCTTTTTGTTGCAATCGATTGCCTTTTATGGTCATACGCAAGTTCAGTGAGCCGAGATTCATTCTTCCTGTTGACATTTCTCAAGGGGATTAGCATTTGTCGAGAGAAAAAACTCGTCGCGTCAGTGTCCCCTTTCGATCTTCGCTAATCCAATCGAAAATTTCGGATTCTATCTAATGTCCTGCACGGCAGAAGGTTGACTTCTCCTTTTCTGTCGTAGAATGGAAGGACATGAAAGCGCTGACGTGAGCTGGCTTACTTGGTTCAAGCTAGCTTAAGATACACCACGTATTCCATCTACGTTCAAAATCATAGTAGCGTTGGTTTGTACGAAAGGGAGCTCATCATCGAAAAACCAATTTTAATGAATCATTGTTTTCATCTAAACAGATTTCGGCAAATAATCAATTCAAAGGCAAACTTTTTTACCTTGAGCAGGGTCAGATCTAACCGCAAATAAAAGCGCTGCTCCTTTCCCTAATCTCTGTACCAGTTAAAAGTATTCATAAGTAATTATGCTTGGTTTTACAGACAAAAATAACCATCTCACTCAAAATTATTATCTTCCTAATCCCTCTAAAGTCCGTCGACAGGGTCCATGCTATACATGGCAATAGTAGCACTGAAAAGTGCTAACTGGATAGTAGTTAGGGAATGTAGTGTCCTAAATCATTCTCAAATAAATTGAGCAGGGCCAGTTTGTCAAGGATGCCTACTGAAGCAGATGTTAGGTCAAAGGAAAGAAATGGGAGAGGTAACGGGAATGAAAGGAATTTTCCTCGGGAATATAAATGAAGCATATACAAGTACGGAGAATCAGTCAAGACAGAGGTCACCCAAAGATGGGTGCCTCCCCGAGTCTGTCCCGGAACCTTTGAGGACTTTGTGATCAAAGGCATCATAAATGATACCCATTTCTTCCCCTGTTTCTGTTCTCGTCACAAATTCAATTGCGATGAATTCACATTCATAGATGGAATGGCTTCGTGAAATGGCAACGATTGCGATGAATTCACATTCATAGATGGAATGGCTTCGTGAAATGGCAACGCCCAGCGGTCAATGACCGCCCGTTGCATCCTTTTCTGCACGATTCCAATTAGTTACCGCAACGTTGATGCAGCAAAAAGCATCCTACACCTATGGGTTTTCTATTTCGGGACCATGTTTGCCCATGCAGTTTTTCAAACAGGTGGCGATGTATGTCACACCAATGCTTTCCAGCCTCCTTTCATTGTTTCCGTGAGCTGAAGACATGTAATCTGGGTAGGACGTAAAAAATCAACTGAAATGCTTTCCAAATTGTAAAGTATAATTTCTAAAATAAAGCTAAGTCAAAGCTTAGTTCAAATGTTATAAATTTAAGTTTTATAACAATTTACAAAATTTTTCAAAATATTAGTCAGCTGGTCGATTGGTCAGGTTTAAGGGCGAAGGATTTACTTATGCTTTCTGCGAAAAGGGCTAGAGCGTCTAAATGATATTCGGGGCCCCGAGCTTATTCTGTTAGCCTCTGCGCTATCTTCAATTTGGTGAAGAGATGACAGAAATGCTCAGAATTACAAAAACTCTAAAATCGTTTTACTATTAAACAAAAATTGATATCAAAAATCAGAAATTAAAATCATTGATAGATCTGCATCGTTTTCGGGATGCACCTCCGCATTCCACTACCATTCAGAATCGTGGTGGCGTTTGAATGCATATGTGGCCTATACAATGATCAGCCTATGTACAAGTTAACCCTCATCTCCCACTCGAGTCTGGTACCAAGTAACTGACCCCGGAAGGAGTGAAAGCTTTGTTAGCTTGGGTGGGTATCGATCTTGGATTTTTCACCGGCTCTGCCCGTGGTAGTGTGATACGTGGTACTACTTCAGCATCACCATGGAAAAAATCAAAAATTTTAATCAAATTAAAATCAATAGTTGACCAAGAAGGGTTAAAAAGGTTGAGAATTCATTTTTGAAATTCAACTCATGAAGTTCCTCTCTACAAGTTTACATCATGTACTGTAGTTGTTGTATAAGCAGTATTAAGTAGCTCAGGCTCTTAAGAAGCCCGACCTTCCTTTACTTGTTCCCTAAAAAAGCCCCAACCCGTGGATGAACCAGATAGGTATTGTCTGAATATGAAGCGGGGCCTTACCCTGAGTAGTGTAAGGGATAAGAGCACGGTGCCCGGATAGCTCAAGTGCGAGTTCGAGTCCCGTCCGAGGCCAAAGTTTTGCCATAAGTCGCTAACCTTGTGAATTTGGAATGTTTTCAGGTGTCATCCGTAGTGAATTCGAGTCAAGAGACGGTGTGGATCGGAGCCGAGCAGTATCGTCGACTGCATCCGCAGGTGAGTAGCAGCTCTTTTTCCATCGGAAGAAGAGCACTTTGCTCCGCCTCTGGCGGCTAGCCAGCACCGCATGCGTAGCCGCCGTAATTGGCTTCATCACCACTCGAGCCCATCCAAGGGGATCCCGCACGAATCGTTTCATGCTCTCATGCTAAAGCACCCACATGCCACCACTATTGCAGCAGTCAGTGCAGTGTCGTCACTAGCCATTTTCGTTTGTCCACTGCAATTTCATATGTCTGTGTGTGTGGTGGTCAATCAGCTGATCGCTCAGCTGATCCCCCAGCTAGTGGCTGGTCTCTCAGCTGTGATGGTTCAGTGAAAAATACGTTGCGCTCTCACTTTACTTCTCAGCTTTGGTTCGTTTCAGAACTACTATCCATCGCGAAGTCCATCCTATACTAGGAGTGAACGCAGTCTCGACGGTGTATGTCCAAATTTTTTCCGTTTTTCCTTCTGTTTTGTCGTGCTTTTTTCTATTCTTTTCTATCCTACGTACAGTCACGTATAGTCCTTATGTTTTCTTTTTCTTTTCCTTATATCTGCCCATCTATATCGTGTTGCTAAAAATAACTCACAACTAATCAATCTATATGCTTACTATTACTGTCGCTTATGGTTACCTTTCAAAAATCTTGAGGAATACATGCGACCTGTGTAATTATTGAGAAAAAATTGGAAAACTCAGTAACCTTGTAATTCCAAAGTTTGAGGTGCGCCACGCATTCGAATTCCACTCATGATGTTCATTTGAATACGCATTCCCCCTAAAAAGTTATCAACTCGTCTGGCAGCCATATATTCATGAACATGGGTTGATCGATGCACTCTATCATAAGGAACATTCAATATTGGAATCGATTAGGCTTCTCTTTAGACGTCGTGGTTGAATTCCAGAAATGCCAGATTATTTGGCGTTCAGCATTTTCTACTCTTCCTGTAATGCGCATAAGTACCTAGGAGTCTGTTATGGGTAGCAACTAATCACTATGATATCCATTTGGATCATTTCTGCAACTTTTTAATAACTTGGAAAATATTTCCCTCTATCCTTTTGGGTTTGTAGATTTTCGTGATATCCGATATATGTAAGTGCATCCGATAATTAATAGAGTCAACTTCTGAAGAAATTCTGAGGGCTCTTCTATTCAATTTACACCTTGAAACGAAGATGTTTTAAGGGTAACGGCAACCGTTCACTACTGTTTATCGGTTTATAGGTGATTAATCGGCTTCTTAGAACAAAAGTATCCGCCCAATACAACAGAAAGACTCGTAGTTGGTTTGGGAGAAAGGTTTATGAACTTAATGAACTAGGTTTTTGAACTACAGTTTTTAACGATGTTTTTATTCGGAAATGAAAGATTTTAGTAGTTTTCTTCGCTATGAGATACTTACGACGGGGAAACAGCTCATTTTTTATCTGGGAGCTCTCTGCCCTTTAATGTGGGATGATTTGATGTCTTTTTCGTCAAAAGCAGTAGGAAATGGCTTGAAAATGCAAAAACTGTGTCAGTGCCAGTCATTGACTGAAAATTCAACAAATTCGTTCTCACACAGTTCATACAACACCTAACTCTGAGAAAAAGAGCAATTAAGGTCCGTCAAGTTTGTAAAGTGTACAGAATGAAGTAGTGAAAAGCACATTAATATATATTAGTATGATATTTAATGACAAATTTATATATGATAATGATAAAAATACTATTACATAATTAATTATTATTGACCCACCTTCCGAATGAATATCCACCACAAGAGAGGGAAGGATTTGAGATGCAGTATGTAAAAATTTAGGCTGTCTGAATGAATCGGTGGGAGATATTTTCTTCCCCTTACGAACACCCTCTTTTTCTACCAAATTGAGGAGCTCTCTCTTCTCCTCCTACCCATAAGCACGAGATATTCCTAAAAAGCCTTCATTGCATGTTTCTCGTGCAGCATCACTGCACTCTGCGTCCCACAACTGTTCCACCCCACCGCTTTTTCCGTCATCGTTTCCGAGCTGCTGCACAGACTACATTTCTTCATTTTCCCAATTACTTCTCTTTTTACCCATCATTTTGGTATCGATTACTGCCTCTAACTCTGAATAGATGGCCAGAGTAAATTACATATCCAATGGGGTTAACTAAATTGGCAGAATTTGATGAATTCCCGAAAATTTTTTGGAATGAAACTCCTAATTCTCCCTAGGGTGTGCGAGAGAGGTTCCAAACCTTCGAGACGGAATATTCCGGTTAGATTACCTCTTTTGGAAATATTCCGATAGCACCGAGCATCTCGGAACGGTGATGTATGAAAACCAATTATTGTGTAATTCAGCTCTATAATTTATGGTAATGCAAGTTATAATTATAACGATAATATTGATCTTATTGATTGATATTTACATCATGTTTAACCGATGAATTAACTTTCATTCCAATGAATATTGTCAAATTAGCGCACATTTTCCACTTTGTATCGTGATAAGTAATTGACGATAATTCATGATACAATGTGAAAATAATACGCGTCATTTGCTTTTGTTGGTTTGCAATTCCTTAAACTGTCGCTTTGAAATTGCATGAAAATTTTTATATTATAGGCCATATGAGGTGTTGCATGCAAAATGTCGTATGTGATATTTTGTAGTGCATTTAGATGTGATTATCACGCATTATTCCTATGTATCACATAGTACCACTAATTATCACTTAATAGAATATCTTATGTAATTGTGTAACTTATCTACTGATTTTTATGAAGTCAGTCTATAAGCGGGATTTCTTCTCCATGATTTTGTTTCTTAGGGTTTTTGTTGATATTCAATCATTTCAATATCATTTTCCACGGATAACTTTTTATTTATTGTTTATTCATTATTTATTTAGTAGTAGTTGATTTATTTCCTGTATATTTATTTGATAATTCGATATTCAATATATTAGAATATATGATCTTATGCATCCCTTGTAGTCTATATCAAATCAAAATTTTTCTTAATTTCTTGGAAAAATTCTGTTCTACTTTCAGTCGGACGTCTCGATGACGTCCTGGTCTCCATGTTCGACCCGTTCACTGTCACCAGCTGGCTCACCACTTTCCTTACGAGGTTCATGGGCTTATGATGTTGTCTACTTGCCTACACATTTGGAACGGCATGTGAAGATCACTAAAGGAGCTTTGCCATTAGGTACGATAGTTTTCATTTTATTCTTCACAAGACCTTCTAACTAATCTATCGTTTGGATTGCTACAATATTCAGTGTTTTCCTTGTTTATCTATTCTTGTGGTCGATTTTGTTCTTCTCGACAAAACCTTAAACTTTTGCCGGTGTCTCTCACTGGAATAAACGGTTGGGAGAGTTCCAATAAATTTATAAACTTAAAAGGAAGTAGTATTCGAAAAAGGAAGGGCGTCATGTTCTTCTTTCGGAAAATTTATTTCTAAGGAGTTTGGGTCAGCCTGAGAGCTTTGGCGCATTTCTTGGCTAAGAGCTCATGGGGTTTGCTACGGGACCCCTCAAATGATTACTATCATGTTCCCCCATCTGTCTTTTTTTATAGCCAATCAATACTTCTGCGAAAGGGAATTTACTCTCTTGGGAAACGATAATTGAGCATACGCATATGAACCTAATTGATGCTTCACATTAACTCATCGACGAAGATTCATTAACGGCGTTGAAATGTCAGGAATGAAAGAGGAGAGTGTAAGGGATGAGAGCGGAACTGGCTAGCATTTTGTCATCTTGAAAGACAATAAAAGGAATAGCCTCCCCTCCCCCTATTACTCATTTCGCGGGTGCGCCGTGCATCGGGATAAGAACGCATTTTCCGAGTGGAATTGAAGTGTCCCCAACCAGTGGATCGAGCGACGGCACGGGATGAACGCCTGGGAGAAGAAAAAGACCTGATTGTCTCCAATCCCAAAGCCAGCCAACGTGCACCTCACTAATGTTTCCACTCGTGATGATTCGGTGCTATTCAACAAATGCAAAGGTACCTGAGATACAAGTGTTGGCTCAGCTTACTGGTAGCCAATTTAACTGCTACCGCTTTTTCTACCTTGGCTGAACAAATCCACAGAAGGAAAGGCGTTCTTTCGGGAATTCTACGATTAGCAGTACCAGCTAAATTCTTTAGCTCAAAATGTGAACGACTTTTTCACCAGCTCCGTTATATAACTCTCCGAACATTTCAAGATGGGGAAAGATTAATGCGTACGAATAAGTGGAACTTCATTATGAGCGTCTAGGTCATATTTCAAGAACTGAAAAAGCCTTGATTAATTGGTTAATTTAGCTCGAGCATCTGTTATCTCTTGGGTTTTATTTTGAAATAATGTGACAGAGATTTTTCATTCTTTGACAGCTAGTTCCAGTTAGTTCTTCTGGGAGAAAAGGCATCGGATTCTGTTCTTACGAACACCAAAATCTTTGATCATTTATTAACCTTTTTACTCTCATTTATTTCCCACTGTAGTCACTGCAGCGTGTTATCAAGGAAAGGGGCAATTCCCTATTATAACTAGAGACCAAAAGTTTTTCTTCTTTTATCAATGGCTGCTATCCAAAAAAGCTGACACCACAAGCTTCTGCTCTTGGCAGATTCTGTGTACAGGTACAGTAACCTTATGAAGTAAGACAGAAGAACAAGCGGTTGACACTTTACTTTAACCTCTTCCCTTCACTTTTTACTTTCACTTCAAATAAAACAACGAGAGAATCCAAAGGATTCCCATAGTTCAAGGTTCTTTTTGAGCTGGATATTCTAAGGTGGGACGACGTTATGAGGACGAAAGGGGTGTTCGGGCAATGTTTTAGCCTTGTGCGGGATTCCCGTCGCTGCGGAGCAATTTGCGATTGCTATTATTAATGTGGATCAGTTGATTGAGTTTACAACAAATGATGTGCTTCATTTTGAATGCCTACAACCTCTACGGAGCGGTTGAACACGTCCTTTCTTTGGCGTATTGGGGGACAATAAGCTTCTACGTTCTCACCAAGCCCCATTTGTGTTCGACATTCGACCGAGCCTTCTCGAGCCGACATTGTCCTATATGGGCTTCCATTGGCCATTTATCCTTACTGGTAGGAAGTCATGGACACCATTCTATCGCAGACTGTGCCTTTGAAACAAGATCCCTGCTCATATTCTCTGCCCTGTTGACTCAGTTTATCGCCATATAATTTATGGTAACTAGCAATAGGGCAGTCAGGAAGTCGCTGAAAAGCCATCCACCATCAATTCTCTAAAAGTCTCAGAAACGGGATCCCAAGGTATGAAAGGGATGGGCCGTTTCGTTTGCCTCCTCCATAAATTGAATTTTTAGCTCGGAGAGGTTCCCCTGCATACTGAGGCGTAGTGGAACGATAAGAAAACGTTGAAAAACGAGTTTTCAATGGGATCCTGTAGTTATGAAAAGTTGTCATCTAAAATATAGAACTAATGAAAACTCCATTTGCCAGCATTGTAGTTCCCAATAATTGAAAGGCATTAATGTATGCTATTCAATGAACACCTTTTTGATCGTCTCATTACCGTTTCTACTTCGTTTTCAAGGCCTAATTAGTACCCTTAGCCAAATATAAGTAACTCTGGAGACTGGTTTTTGTGACTCTCAGCTTAGTTAGACCGACTAACTACGGCTGACGTGCCGGGAATTGTATGAAGCCGTGCTGAAAGTAAAAGATTTACCAGACTCTTTTGTTCTTTTTATCGATCCACGGATGTTTTTTGTCCTCAATTGAGCGAAAAAAATGTGCAATTCAAAGCTTTTAGTGGCGTAAAGTGGGCTCGTTTTTTTTCTGGTGCTCATTGGAAAAACAGCGGCAACCGACGGGAATTGGCCATCGTACGATGTACGCTTCCCTCGTTCTCACATTCCCTTCATTCTAACCCTAATTACCCTTTCACAAGTAATTAGCTGAGCCGTTTGTGCGGCTGTCATCCAGACGTGCTCCAACAGGGAACTTTACCCAAATGGCACAATCGTGGAAGATAACTTCTCGGTGAGAGACAAGAATCTACAGAAAGGAAATGGAAAAAAAAGACGGTACAAGTGAATGTGGGGAAGTTATCAGTGCCAGCACCTTGTTTACCAATATCACCGTAAGCAAACAAACAATCCTCATTCGAAAAAATAAAGCAAACAAACCATCCTCATTCGAAAAAATAAACTTGAGGGGTTCCTCTAACGAACAGAACTCCGAACGCGCTTTTGCATTTTACGACGCTGAGGCTTGCTCAGTAAATTCGCTTACTCCATTGGATAAATAAAAAAATATTTTGAGATTTATTTGTACAGAGCATGTCCTTATTCTTTTTATCACGGTGAGCCAGAAATGCAGATAATGTTTTGTCAAATATTGGTGGAGGAATTCAAGTATCTGCATCAACATTTAATGTAATAGGGGGCGGAGTTTGCGGTAAGGGGAGGGGTCCGTGAAAAAATTTGTGCTCAACCCGTTCCAAATTGCGCTTTCTGACAAGATTATAAAGCGTAAAGGACTATTCACAAAAATAAGCTCTGTTTTTTATCTCTATCAAAATTTGAAGTGAACAGACTCTGACAACTTGACGATCAATATGCACAAAAATATTTTGGTCACCTGAATGCCTTTTTTATGGTCCGATAAAAAATAGTCTCGAAATTTTTCAAAAATTGGTCAAAAATTTTCAATTTTTAAGCTATGAGGCCTTTCTAAAATAATTACAAATCAACTCTCTTCCAGTGGTATTGAAATCGAAACAATTCTATCTAGGTATTGTTCTTGATGCTGAAAAGGACAAAGGCGTGAATGGAGCCGTGGTAAAGAGCATTTGTAGCAAAAAGGCGGTCAGCCTGGATGGTAGAATACAGGCCAGTTGTTTACTTGTTTTCTATTTACATCTACTTCACTGTTGATTATTTTGATTCTCGAGAAGTTTTCTAAGCTGTAACTGATCGGTGAGGTAATTTTTGAGGTTTAGGTTGGTGATTACATCGTCCGAATCAACCAGGAGAATCTCCGGAATGTGACGTCTTCCCAAGCTCGTGCTATACTTCGACGGACCAATTTGATTGGCACCCAGTGCAAGTTCGTCATTTTCAAGCCCTTATCGTCTTGTTTTTCAATTTTTTCCCTTTCGACTCATACCTCTCCTTCGTTATCGGCTTTGGAGTGCCGATCGTTTTTCTTTTGCCCAATCTGACGGAACATTTCTTCTTGGTTTGCGGAAACGGATATGTGGGACCTCGAATGGATAACTCTGCACTTTCAAATGGGTTGAGTTGGATAAGCACTGGTCCTGCGACAGGCCATCGAAGGGGTTGAGATCGCATCAGAGTTGGCATGTAGTGGCATTAGGTTTAAACGAAAGTTTCAAATTTTGTGGAAAGACACATAAGTTGTGAATTTCTCTCAAGTGGAATCATACGGTTTTCTTGAGGTCATATTCAGAGAACAGTACAAAAGACTTACGTACTGTGCAACTGACGTGACTTACTTACTCTGACCCGATACCCACCGATAATGACCCGATTTTATCCCCATTACGACCCCATGCCATCTTATAGGTCTTATATGAAGCACGATATGGTCTTACTCCATAATTCTTTATTGAGATTGGAGTCTTGAATTCTCTTTATTTGAGATTGGTGTCGAGACTCCAAGATGGAATAAACCATTGAACGAATCAAATGAACGATGAAAATAAACGAATTGAATAAACCGTCCAAACTGGGAAAACGTATTTTTTGAAAACTTCATGGTCAAAGCTTCAGACCATTACGACCTATTGAAAAATTGTAGCTCCTTTTAAGCATACCGTCCGTTTAGTCACCGGCTAGAATTGGAACAAAAGCTTCCAATGTTTTTCACTTAGGGAGCAAGCGGTTCGCATCATTCTTACCGTTTGTAGTATGCTACTGTTAACTTCTCATGGTTTTTATGGAAAAGGAGACTACATTACATTCTCAGTCAAAGTAGTTCAATGAGTTTTATTTTGAAATTTCATCACTTTGTACGAGGTTATTTGTAATGTGGGTGACCTTCCAGGGTTTCACATTTAAAGTTCTATGAGATCAGTTGGTGCATGTGGATTATGATGAGTTGAGTAATCATCTTCTCAGAATGATCATCCAATTAGGATAATAACAGAGCACTCAAAATAAATCCGAAAAAGTAAAGCTTTATAAGTTTGAATAATGAGGGTTGATGAAATTATTAGTTTGTGGACTCTGAGAGGTTGGGTATCTTCGTTCTCAAGAGAAGTTTTGAGCCAGAAATCCACAAGTTTTCCATTCAAGCACAATACCATCTTCAGGAGTCCTACACAACTGGATTACTCGTGCCTTTTTTTTGACCATGATAGTAGTCAAGAGGTAGGAGGGTAGAGAAACGGACCTTTCGGGTCTGCCGATACTAAAAAAACACCCCTTCCTACAATATTCGAAGCAGTTGCAATCCGTCGGTGCAAACAAGTTTGCGTTTTTTCCGGTAAATCCGATCTCGTGGACCTCATAAACACAATGCTTCAAGCTCAATTGAGTTTGCTACCCTTCCTCTACCTCTTCCATTCTATAAAATTGCGTTTCTTGTAGTGTCACCTACATCACAGCCGCCGATGCACGAATGTGGAAGGAGCGATTCCATCGCGATAACGAGGTCAGCTCACCGGTCATCAATCGGCTATCGCCAAAGTGAGTAGTGACCTTACGTATTTGTGGGACCTTCTTACAAATTATCTCCTCGATTCAATCTCAGATAATGGGTCCTTTTCACAATTCATAGAAATTCGGAGCTGTTTCAGGGTGTTCCCGAAGTTCTACCGAAGCCCCTACCTTTCACGGAAAGATTCGCCTCAACGTGACACTGACGACACCGAGCCTCCGTCGGAATCGTCGGAAATCGCGATGGCCCAATCACCCTCAGAACTATCCCAGCGAATAGTCAAGGAAGAAGAGACGGCGAAGGAGACGACGGAGCAAGAGGAACAGCCAAAGAGTACCGATGAAAAACCCCTCGATCCCAGTATCCTGGACGAGTTTGTGATGAATATAATTCAGGTGAGAGGGCATAATAACCATTGTAAGATGGGAACGATTGAAAGAGATTCTCGCTTTGCAAAGTTACTCACTTCAAACTTTCGAGTCGAACTTGCATTTTGCATAGGCAGAGTTTTTTTTCTGCTCATTACCTGTTTGTTTACTCTCAGTACGTACCAGAGCATATCGAAAAGTAATTTCCGAAAGAAACGAGTAGCTTTGCATACGGATAGGCCAATTATAATCAGCTCCCCTTCCCAGAATCGATTTCAGGAGGCAGCCAGCAGCACACCCTCCTTTTATACTCACACGTGATGTTCGTACAAAGAAGCCTCCCTCGGGCTCGAGGCGATCCTTTACTATTCTTCCTGTCGTTCCTGAGACATATCGTTAGACTAGGGGAGCCTAATATTTCCACAAAAAGCAAAGAGATCCTTTAAACTTCCACGAAAATCCCATACTGAGCCATCCTTTTGTCTTGGTCAGAATCTCTTGGTAGTTTGCTATACACTTCATTTACTCTCATGGGGATTTCCACCTCGATTATCCTTAGAAATTCAGTTTAGACCTACAGGGGTACAGGAGAGATGGTCACAGTTCAAGCAGAATTTCTTTAGGATTTTGAAGATCTATTACCAGAGATCTTTCTACATACCCCTTTATTTGGTCCCTTTATTTGGTATGGCGGGCAAACTTAGAAGGGCCTCACAAAGCTTGGAATCATCAACATCAACAACGTCACTTTCACTCACCTCGGACATCTTTATCATACTATATCAGAAAGGATAATGTCGGATAAGTAAGGGGATAAAGTCGAGTCGGACTTACTTCGATTCATTTCTCACTCGGGGTGACGAAGCCTTCTCCTACGGTTCTAAGCCTAGAAAGAATATCAGGGCCATCTTTCTCGGCTTAAAACCGTAGGAGAAGGCTTCGTCACCCCGAGTGAGAAATGTATCGAAATAAGTCCGACTCGACTTTATCCCCTAACTTATCCGACATTATCCTTTCCCATAGCCGCCTCCCTCCCCCCTCTTCCTTTCTCCTCCTTTGTTTACCATAAAAATTTCTGTGCCATGAAGGAGAATTACTAATCATTCCGCCACTAACTCCTCAAATTCACTCCGTGGAAGTGGATATTTTGTGTTGAATTGAAGGATTTCAGAAACTTTCAATCAGGAAAACCCACAGACTTACCATTTACACCCTTATGGGGTTCTTTATAGAATTGTCTGTAGGCATTTAATGTCCTGAACTACCCATAAACTTTTTTATGAAAAGAAATACTTAATACTTGTCTTACTATACTTGTCTTAATACTTGTCTTTGCAGAATATTATCTGAATAAAACGCAGCTTATTGCCTTGAAAATGAAGTCTCTCTCGAATTTACCTGTAATTTCGAATGTGTGTCGAATGCATGGCGTATCACGGAAAAACCAAAATTACCGAGCGCTTCAATTTCATTGTTCTTTGAAGCGTTTTAGCAGAGGAACATTCTTTACTACGAAACCTCAGAAGAGATCTAATTACTTTCAGGAAGCATATCGGGATGCTATTATCGAGTTTACGGTGAGTAACGCTACTCCCGATTGGAAACAACGTTCACCGCCATCGACGAAGCATTCAACACCTGAACATTGTCGGGCATCCACATCCTACCAACACATTCCCACACGTACACCTGTACAATCCCCGGCTGCATCGTCGTCAGGTAGGGGAATCGCTGGGTTTTTCTTTTTGCGAAGCATTTCTTACTTTTCCCAGGTAGCCACCTTTTTAATTTAGTGAAGCACTGGGCCACAGGATAGCATTACCCTTAGAAAACCTCGAGATTTGCGAATTCTGGAAGTTTCTTCACCTTCTTTCTCTTTAAAGCCACTAATAATTTTTGAATAATTTTTTTTCAAATTATTGAATTTCTCTCCTTACTCGAGTTTACTTCAAAATACTGCTATCGCAGAGCCTTTACCCCTCTCAACTTTAAAGTGCAAAAGAAAGCTAATCTGCCGATATTTCGGTAGTAAAGATGTAATTTGAAAGGTCCAAAAAGCACTCGCTCAAAACAATGTGGGCTCAGGTATAGATTTTTCCCATAGCTTATTATCCGATTGAGTGAAAGGTGGTTCTGACTTGTGGAAGGCGGACGTATTACCCGAATTCCCACGGTCGCACGCATGCACACGACAGCGATTTTGCCGCAATTACTGTAATCACCCGTTGGAAAATTAAATTTCATTCTTGCACAGCACGCTCCGGCACGCGGTGGATGCGATAGGCCGTCATGCTGTTTGAGTGGAAGATTTCACACGAACGGTTTAGCGATGTACTCATCCCCTTGGGGCCAAATGAAAGGCCCTGAAGAGAATTAGTGCAACTCGTCAAATAGTACACAACCATTTTCAGTTTTCCTTTGTACTCCCTACAATATCACGTTCTTACCGAAAATCATCCGCATCGCATCCACATTGACAATTTCGTTTTCCTCCTTTGAAAAATTGAGATATCTAGTAAAGGTGCGTAAAAATTGTAAATGACAGTTTTTAGGCTCATTAATTGGCAGTCCCGATCGACACGGTAGTCCTCCGTATACGGTACTGCGGAAAAGTAGCCAATCATCAAGGTCTTCACGGGTCAGTCAAAAGGATTCCGATTCAAAGGAATACTCGCCGTCATCTAGTCGCCCACGCTCTGAAAGCAGTAACAAGCAGGGAGCAGAAGAACCATCGACAGCGGTACCTGAGAAATCAGAAGAGCCGGAACCTACTACAGCTGAGGTAAACTACTTCTGACTTATCTTCTTTCAGCTCCTGTTACCTGCAGTTACCAGATCCCGCTGAAAAGGTCTCTGTGAAGTGCTGGGGTAGTAGAAGAGATTAAAGGTAATGCTATGAACACCATTTAGATGGTTGAGATTTCATTTACAGCATTTCCTAGCTTCCTTCCCGCGCTGCGTAACAGAAAGAGGCATAGAAACAACGCAGTCGTCTGTTTCCTGTCAGGAACGCCCCTCTCGGCAGGCCCGCCTTCCGATTCAGTAGAGAATGTTGCGCATTAACATGTTAAGTCATGAAAAGTTCACAGCCACAGAAGATGAGCTACGGTCTACTAGCAGGATAGGGTAGGAGTTAACGTGTATTAACGAGTAATAACTTGTATGGTTTACTCGTACGCAGGGTGTTTCTCGTACATTTCTTGGGATCGACCTCATCAGTGACCTCATCAGCAACAAGGACCTCACACTCGCCTTCTCAAAGACCCCCTAGTGCCTAGATTTTGACCTTCGGTCTCCATCAATTCCGATCTGATACTGTAGAATTTGCCTTCGGTTTCGAGTTACAGTGGACAATCCCCGAAATAACGTTTTGTGTTAAAAATTCGATTTTC